TAATTAATCTCCCCTTGAGAGGATCTCAGGTAGAAACACCTTATACTGAATTACAGTCAGTAGTGTAACAGAGAGGGTCTGGTATACATGTGTGGATGTGTATGTAATATATCATATATATTTTTTCTTTCTAAAAAAACTTACAAAAATAAGGAAAATGTCAAAGCCTTTTAAAGGGCGCGATCACGCTGAGTAATACAACCCTTCCTTGATTTTTACATTATTTCAGTAGGAGATGTTTTTATGGCTCTTGCTAAAAATAAAAGACATTTCAGAGTTTCTCAGTAAATGAAGCACTGCAGACTTTTCAGTTTTGTTGTTTCCCCTAAATTAATATAATTAATTAAAATCCAATGCTAGTCTGATTTACAATCTGTGAGTCAATGAGTCACAGAATCTTATGCTAATAGGGCAGTTCAGCTTTCTGAGCTCTCGGTAATAAACTTCATCCCAGGAAAGGGCCAAGAAGAACAAAGGTGACAGAGAGACCCAGAGAGAAAGGCCCTTCTCACCTGGCCATAATATATTTCTATTGTGCTTGGAATAGAAGAGTGTGAGAATACTTTGGAAAGACAACTGCTTTTATCAAGGGTAAGAAATTAGTTTAACTGAATTTAAATGCAATTACGGGAGCAGCTGGTGAAGGCTAATTTCTGTTCCGTCTGCTCTCTCAGGAACTGCACCCCCATTCTGTTCCCCGGGAAAGATCGGGTTCCCAGCTTTACGTCACTAACGCCAAGCCTCAGAGGCTGGTGTTGGCCTGGGGTCAGTGCCCAGAGCCACGGGGTTAACCCTCCCCTGGGGTTTACTTGTTGCTCCTCCCACTTCCTTTGAAGGAGAGTGCAGGAGTATCTGCCGACAGTGTTTTGAAAGGCTCCAGTTCCTTCCTCTGGGGTCCATTCTGATGAGCATCCATTGCAGCCAGCTTTCTTCTGGTTCATGACTGGATTCCGATGTGATGAGGAAAACTGTTGACTTCAAGAACTAGCGAGTTCTTAAATGTCTTCTACCTGGGCCAAACCACTCACTTAACAGTTGAGAATGAAACCCCTGAGAGGGAGGTACTTTGAGTGCCGGTCCAGCGTTTCTTCCATCACACAACATAACCCTGCCCCTAAAGTGTCAGGCCCATTGCCTCCAGATAGGGTTAAAAATCATTCTCCTCCCATCTGGGTCCATGCTTATGTCTCTGAGGACCACCTTGAATGCGACAAGCTGTAGACACAAATGTTCAGGCCTTTTTATTTGATGCTGTCCTTCTTAAAATATCAATCCTTCTAGAATGTGTGAGACTTCTTATTTATTCTCCAGTAAAAATGAACTCAGAATTATTTATAGGAGAAACACACTGGAGAGCTGGGAAGGCTTTTAGGAGGTGGGACAAAGGAAGAGAGATGAATAAGCTGGGGGAATCCCAGGGTGGACGCTCACTTCAGAGCTTGCCTTGGCCATTCCCACTCCTGCACCCGTATCTAGTGACCCCCAAGGCACTGGAGGTGCCTGCGAACTTGTCATAGCCTCCCGGGAGCCTGCACCCCAGCTCTGAACTGGTGGCTCAGGCTAGCCCTGGGATTCTTTTCTCATATGCAACCTTCCTGGAAACTCCGGTGTCAGAAATGCCGTGCTAGACTTCTTATCCCTCAGAATGCCCCCAGAGGAGACATCCAGCCTGGGCCCGCGAGTACCGAAGAGGCTGCAGCCTTGTGCTGTAGTGTGAGCCTCCCATCTGCCGCCCGTCACTGCCTGGCATTGGCTGGAAATGCAAGTCCCTGCCTGCCCGGGTCACACGGACTTGCATCTGCATGTCTATGCTCCCTGAATAGGCTAAAGCCTGAGAAGCACCGTCCCAGTCCATCTTTGGCCTCCAGGCAATTCCACACTGGACCTGCAGGAGTCCTCACTCCCACACAACCTTTCTGGAAACTCAGTGATTTTGTCATTAGGTAATTAACTCTCAGGACTGGGCGATGGTGGTCTGGGAGAAGGTACGGAGCAGGCAGCCTCTCCTGTTTTGCTGTTCCTTCCCCCACCTTTAGGCCGGTGAAAGCCCTTGGCCTATCCCGAGTGCCCCGAGTGCCTTCCTGCCATCTGGCCTTCCCCTGCCCACCTCCTCCCGGCCGCCAACCCAGGCTGGGTAGGATGAGACAGCACAGAATTCGACTTCCCAGGACCCAAGAACCACCTTATTCTGGACTTCCTCTAAGCCCTGAAATTCAAAGAGGGAAGCCAAATTAGCATGAGCATGAATGGCAAATAGGTAGGGAAGAGAGTCCCAACAGAACAGTCTGAAAAAGGGGAGTCAGAGGGGAAGAGGCGGGACTGGGGAGGAGCGGGGAGGAGCGGGGAGGAGCGGGGAGGAGCGGGGAGGAGCGGGAAGGAGCGAGAAGGACAGGCCAGGCGTGCTGAGCAGGAAACACGAGCATCCAGAGACCGCAGCACCTTCATCTCTCTCAAGACCAGAGCTGCCTCCTTGAGGCTCTTCTCCTGCTCTCTCAATGCGCCAAAAGTTTCCTAGTGCTGCCAAGTCCACTGCCAGACACTTCAAGGGGCAGCTGGCATGACCCAAAGCAGGACTCTGAGATTCCCCAGGTGCTGCCCTGCACAAAGCCTTCTCCACGGCGCCCCCTGGCTGCCCTCCTTCACCGCATCCCACCTGACCTCCAAGTTCGGCCTTCCTCGGGCTCTCTGCCCATTCTCTTCCACGCGCCTGGGCCCCTCCCCAGGTTCAGAACCTGGCCACGTTCCTAGCAGCACACACACGTGAGGATGCGCAGGCGTGTACACGTGGGATGCGTGTGCACGTGGGACACGTGCCCCACTGCTGCCCTGCCAAGAGCAATTGGCCTTTGCACCCTGGCCCACCAGGGAAGCCTCTTTATGTCCCTGCAGCTCCCTCATCTCCAGGATACTATCTCCTTCCTGCCCCTTCTAATTCTCCTTAGCCCCAAGCAGGACAATCCCCAAGGGGGACCTCAGATTGTCCCCACTTCTAGCATGATTCCTGGACTGATGAACGTCTACAGAGTTTCTTCACCTTAGGCCCCCCAGTCAGCATTAATCCTCTAAATGCCTAAAGACGTGTTTGCGAAAAACAAGAACTGATCTCACAGGCCGAAGGATCAAGACTCTTCTCCTAAACTAGAGTTCCCAATCTCATTCTTGAAGGGCTGTTGCCTCAACTTGGAGTTCAGGTCAGGTTAATTTTTTTCAAAAAAATCTCTTTATGGAAACTGAACCATCCTTTTACTCAGCTGGGATTTGCATATCGAAGGGGTTTCTCAGATTATTGGCAGGGATGGGAAGGGAGGGGGCCAAAAAACATAGGCAAAGGTTAATAAATGTTAATGAAATCTGTGGGGGGAACATCCCATCAGAAACACCTAACACAGTCCGGGTGCGGTGGCTCACGCCTGTAATCCCAGCACTTTGGGTGGCCAAGGTGGGAAGGAGTTCAAGACCAGCCTGGCCAACATGGTGAAACCCCATCTCTACTAAAAATACAAAAATTAGCCAGGCCTGGTGTCATGTGCCTGTAATCCCAGCTACTCTGGAGGCTGAGGCAGGAGAACTGCTTGAATACAGGAGATGAAGGTTGCAGTGAGCCAAGATTGCACCACTGCACTCCAGCCTGGGTGATAGAGGGAGACTCTATCTAAAAAAAAAAAAGAAAAGAAAAAAGAAAGAAACCCATGAACACACTGTCACAGTGTCTTAGTTTCCTAAAGGGAGGGGTTGACCTAAGTAACCGGGAGATCCTCTTCCAGTTCTATGATTCTGATCCTATTTATAGTACCTGCCAGTCACCAAGAAGTAACATGGCTGTTGAGAAGTGGTTAAAAAAAAGGAGGGGGGCTGTGGGTCTGTAATCTTGAAGGACAGTTAAACTATATGGCAGATCTCACCTGCTTCAAGCCACCAAGCCCTATTCCCAGGCTAAAGTACCTAGCCAGCCTCTGTTGAATGCTCTGTTATTTTAAGACTTTAACCCCTAACCTATTCTTTCCTAGGCCACTATTTTTATAGAAAATTGTCCTTCTTTGTAAAGTCATTTTTTTTTTCAGCCTCTGCTAAACCTATTACTGTTAACACGCCTTAAATAAGCAGCATACAAGAAAACAGATGGGTGAGGGAAAGGGGACAGAGCTGGGCCTGGGGTAAGGATGGAGTTATGGTCTGCAGAACAGCACGGAGACCCTCAGGGTCAGGCAAAAGGTTCAGCAGGAAAATGAACTTCAAGTGCAGCCGTCAAAGGCCTGAGGGCAGCCAAGCTTCTGCACAGGACTGGGCGGGAGAGAGCCCCTCAGGACCAAACAAGAACAAGTTTTGTTTTCTGGGGATCAACTTGCAGCTCAGCCCATGTGAGGGCTGTTCGCCGAGGTGCCTCGGCCAGGTGGTGGATTTCTCCTGTTGTCCTGTAACTTGGCTTGAAGCGGAAGATGACCCATGTCACCTGGCGCCCTGATAACAGAGAGCAAATTCCAGCAAAAAGTGCCCATGCCTAGGTTGGCCATTACCATGCCCAGCAGGCTGCTCCCTGCCATCTGGCCACCTTAGAGAGATCACAGCCGCTCTGCTCCTCGCCCACCTGGCTTCAGCTGCCTCCCAACCGCAGTGACAGGGACAGCGTGGCCAACACTGGGCACAAACTGGGCTCTGATTTACCTGCTTTCCTGCTCTGGGGATTCTGGGACCAGGTCCCCCAGTGCTGTTGTGCCCCAGTTTTCCACAGAATTAATGTCCCTGTCCCTTGGGGTAAGCAATCTTTTAACCTTATTTACAAATATTGAAACATTCAAGGCTCAAGCCCGTTTGTGGCATTCAGAGCACTCACATTTGTTGGAGGACCTGCATTCCCTAAGGCATTAAGTACAGAAAATAAGTACTAGATATAGGGCATATCAGGGGAGAGTGGGCACACCCAGGGGAGAGTGGACATCTAGATGGTCTCGTGTTCCGAAAGAGGAGATCCGGCAAAATACCAGTCAGAAGCCCTGGGCAGCAAACGATCTGACATAATATTGCTATGCTTCTTAAAAGGGGATTTTTAAATATGGCCCGGTAATGCCTTGTGATATTCCTACAGATCTGAGCACTTCATTTATTGGTCTATTTGCACATTGGCTTATTTCTCTAGTGAATTGTAAGATTATACATACTAAAATGCAAAAATACATAGAGATACATGCAAAAGCAGAGGCAGGACATTTAGAACAGCAGGAAAAATCTGGCATCAGATACGTGGATCACAGGGATGGTTACTCAGAGAAACACGGCTGAGTCACGAACACGGATGCTTAAACTGGTTGAGGCTGGATGGGTTTTGAAGGTGGTCCTCACTAGCGTTGGTGACGTTCATCAGCGCTGCACAAGCATGGCACTGGCTTTGCATGGAGTCAGCTGCACTCTTGCCTTCCAGAAGCTCAAGAGGTTTGGGGTAAGCAAAGGGGATTTCTCCTTTGGGCTCTTGTCCAAACAGGCACTGACATAAATGATTTTGGGGGAAAAAAAAAGCTAAGGTCAGCAAGCGATTTATCTGTGGTCAGAGGCTGGATACGGGTGCCCAGTGACATCTGTGCCATGGTCTCCTCCACTGCCTCTGCTCATGGCCTGTGGCCATTTGTCCCATCCACAGCCCACTTGTCCCCACTGAGGTTGGGCTGCACAGCTGTCCCTGAGGACCTGCCAGGCCTACACAGAACAGCCTGCAACAAACCTCTCCTCCTAACTAGCTCCTTCCTTCCTCGCCCTCATCCCTGAAACGTTCCGCATTGGTGGCACGTACAGAGGTTGAAGCAGGTCCTATTTTTAAGTTTAATAATAGCTTGCTAAGTATCTGCATAGATTTGTCCATCTGATGAACTGACTTGAAAACTGGCCCCGAGAGACAAGTTCAGTGGCTGATGAGAGGGAGAAGAACCCTGAGGCGAGGACCCAATCCTCTCACTTCGAGGCTTTTGGCATCTCCAGAAGCCATCCCAGTAACCCCTGGAACCTTGGGAAAGGGAATTATGAAAACCAGAGTAGAGCAGAAGGGAAGGGAAAGTCTCCTTTCTTCCTAACTGTGCTCTCACTGATGTGTTGATGACTAAGACCCCTAGAGAAATTTTGTCATGCCTTAAGCAAAGTTAATACTGTTCTGTTTTGTATTCACACGCTTAATTTGCTTTCCCTGAGGAAAATATTAGGTTGGTGCAAAAGTAATTGTGTCTTTTGCCATTACGTTTAATGGCAAAAATTGCAACTACTTTTGCACCAGCCCAATAGCTTAGATTTGGCCTTGGCAGCTATGGAAAGAAATAAATGGCATTTCAGCATCCAGCCTCAGCCTGGATTTCCTTTTTGGATCCACACTCTTAAGCACCCAAAGGTCTTACATTGTCCATTACATATTCAATGTCTTCTCATGATAGACTTTAAAAGGGTTGTAATTTTATTCCCATCTCAATAGCAACCAATTAAAGTAGCTAAATGTGACATCCAGTCTGCATTTACAGACATAATACAGAAGATAAAATTTCTATACTTTTCTAGCTAATAGTTATTTTAGAAACTCAATCTAATACTAGAATTTCATTACTCAGAATTTTTCTTTGTGAGTCAGAATCCTGATGGTGAACAAGCAAAGCTTTACCTCAGCTCCGTCTCAAAGCTGGGGACTTCAAGGTTTCTTGGCATCAAGCTCTAGTTGGGAGTTTGCATCCACCCTTGGGTCCTGCTCCATTTGTCCCAGCAGACCGAGGGCTGGGGACACAGGCTTTGTTAGCAGACACAGCTGGGATGGAATTCTGGAACAACCAGATGTTCATAACACCTACCTCACAGGTAGTTCATATGTATTCAGTCAAATAACAAACATGCGAAGCTTAGCAGGGTGCCGGGAGCTCCGTAACGGAGATGGTCATCACCATCACCAATTTTACACACTCGTCATTTTCACAATCATCACAACTCATCCAAGATCAAGCCATGGTTTTCCTTTAAGCTTCTCATCCCAGGAAGCTGATGAGATTTGGGTTTCATCCCGGCTGCCAGTCCTGGTTCTGCCACCTTTGGCAGTTCACTTGGCTGCTCCAAGCCCCATCGCTTGGTCTGTAAAATGGGGCAACAGCTATTTCCACACGCAGCTGCCGAGAGGCCCCTGCCACAGGGTGTACGATGTGTCTGGGTTTACTAAAGATTGGTTTCTCTGCCCTTTGTCATTTCTTCTTTCCCCGTTATAAAATAACAGAAGAAAAAGAACATCAAAATGAGATGCCACACATGTGCCTAAAAACCTTGCAACGGCACAGGCAAAATATTTAGTCTCACTTCATCAGGCTCTATTCTCCTTGGGCTTTGCTAGTTCACAATAGGTATTAATCACTTAATCATACACGGTAATTTATACTCATCTGTTAATCAGTTAACGACTCTTCCCTGAGCATTTACATAATGTCCTGTGCCAGAAAAAACGCAGTCTCCCACAGACTCCTAGGAAGTGCCTCTTACATGAGCCTGCTGTATTCAGCGACCGGGGCCACCTTTCTGTGGATTTCAGCCCCTACAGCAGCCTGCCCTGCCTCTACCTGGGACCAGGTGGGCCTGGCTGGAGATCCCCATTTGTTTGCACAAGGCTGCCCTTTCTTGTCTAGGCTTCTTCTCACACCCAGATCACAGTACAGTACACTCCCTTGCCACAGTTCATGCAAAGCGAGACTTGTGTCCCATTCATGGGCCGGGGTGGGATGAGGAGATAGCAAACAGGGGGAAAGCTTTATCTTCCAAATCTGGATACTCCCGCCTATGACAAATGCAAGGCAGGACAGTGTGACATTGGGATAACTGCCATAAATCAGCATGGACGGTCCCTCCAGCAAGGAGGAGCGTGTATGACGTGAAGCCTACGTTCCTTGTAGAACAACTCTGAAAATCAAATCTAATGACTTGTTGCTCTTGCACGTCGTGGCCAAGATATCAGTGGAAGTGCCTCCTTGGGACTCGGAGCGCCCACTGGCACACTGTTCTTGATTGCATAGACGTGTCAGTATCTGCACAGTGGTGCGCTGTTTTGATGCTATGCGCTATGAACATGTCGCTATCTGTTGAATAGCAACACAGCTTTGGTCAGTCACTGGGGAAGGTGAAGAAACCCTTTCTATGACGGAGACTGGCTCAGTTCATTATCCCATAATCTCAGTTTCTAAAAAACCATTCTGGAAATAAGTCACATCATGTTTCGAAGGAGGAGAGGCAGATGGAATCTAAAAGAAGCGAGGTCAAAGACTGACAGAGGCCAGCGCATGATTGACAAGAAATGTGCCTGAACTTCTCAGATGTTAAGTGATTCTGCTGATTAAAACAGAACTGCACATGAGTGCTGGGGCTTGAACGTTTGGCCACAGCAAACATCAGGAAAAGCATCAGCCACAGCAGCCATGGAAGGAGCGTGTTGCGTGTCTGTGCTGAATGAGGTTGAAGTGCAGCAATTCAGCAAATGCTGTAAGACGGGTTTGGATTGGGAAGGCCAAAGACTTCTACGGCCAGGTGAGCTCCTGAAGGGTTAATTTGGAGTTTCACATGGTCCTTAAATTTGGTGCTGCTGTGATTGCTGCTCTTTTGGAGGCCACAGAGAAGGTAGCCAAGGGCCTGGTGTGGTCTCCAGTAGTCTCCAGCACACTGGCTTGGAATGCAGGCTTTGGGTTCCAATTATGGACGTCTCCATAACTAACCATCTGGTCAGTGCTCGTCACGCTAGTGTGGGATGCAGACAGAGAACATAGTTAGAGGCAGAATCAATAATCTGGCAAAGAGAAAGACGTTCACAGCTTTACAAATGAGCTCCTTAGCATTAATTAATTTATTCATTAATTCTGCAACAATTGAGTAGGGGTATATTTTATGACAAGCAATGTGAAAAGCTTGGTTGGAAGATGGAGGTTATAAAGATGTACAAAGATATACCCCTTTCCGTCTGTTCATGAAATGTAGGGGCATGCAGAGCATTACAGGACTGTCGAGGAATATACAGTTATCTGAGGAATTCCATTAAGGCTTCACAGAGGAAACAGCACTAAGACTAAGTCTTTTTTGTTTAAATTTAGTGAAAGCAAATTTATTAAGAAAGTAAAGGAACAGAGACTGGCTACTCCACAGGCAGAGCAGCCAAGGCTACATCTTGAAGGGTGACTGGGAATTTTTAAAGGAACAGGAAAAGAAGAATATGACAGTCTTTAGAATCAGACAGACATGCATCTCAGCCCCAGGTCGACCTAATTGTGTAATCTTGTGTTCATTATTTAGCCGGGGGTGGGGGCTCTGTTTCTCCATCTGAAAAATGGAAATAATGTTCTGCTACCTTGCAGAATTGTCATAAGAATTAGATGTAACCTATGTTTCCATGTTTGGCAAAGGAAAGGGCACAAAATAACTAATGGTTTTATGAAATTTACCAGCTGGGGCTACGAGAAAGGGCATGCAAGATAGAGGACACACTGTGTGTTAAAACAGAGACGTGAAAAGAAATGGAATGAGTAGGCAGCAGAAAGTAGGTTGTAGACCTTGAGAGGAGGAAATAATAGGGCATGAGACTGGACAGATCAACTGGGGTCAGTTACAACGAGTCAGCACCATCTTTGGTGAAGAGAGGCCAGCATCTTTCAGCTTTACCCAAAATTGCCGTGCCCAAGGGCTCGTTGCCAGCCTGCTTCCACAAGTGGTTTCAGCTTCCTGCTTCTTCCTCCTCTCCACCCCTATCCAACCATCAAACTCCAAGAGTCACCACACCATCTCCAGGAAGCTCCTATCTTCAGCTCAGCCATATGACACCCTCCTGATCGTTTAGCAGCCACGTCTATTTAGGGATCCAGTGAAAGTCATTTCAATCATTTCTCCTGCAGGTGCATTTTGTGCTAAGAATACCCAACAACAAAAATCCAAGCACGCAAACAAAGAAACGTCAGAAATCTTGACATACCAAGGATCCACTGCTCTTTAACTTCAGTCTCTTAGAAGTTAATTGAAACGATGACAGCACCAACCTCATAGGATTAAATGAGATAATTATGTGAAGCACATAATAAGTGCTCAAATACATTAGATGTTGTTTGTATCATTATGATAATTAGCTTCATAGAATAATTTATCATTTGATACTTTTGAGTGCTTACTAGGCACAAGGTATCAAAGAATTCCTTCATAGACACATAATTTATCTACGACTTTTCAGGCAGATAAATTCTGCATAGAGGAAAGCACAAACATATGGGAGCAATGCAATTTAATCAGCACCTAATTAGCCAAACTATTTAAAATAGACCTCACTATTTTGATGATGAAAACATTCTCACTTCTAAATGCCGGAAGCTGTGTCTTCCCGTAATTCTCTCCCTTGGAAAACTGAGCGGAGAGACTCTTGGCTCATTGCTGGAGCTTCCTCTCCATTACATTTAAACCTCATGGGTTCTAGTCATTTCCTTTCTTTGTCATTAGATGAGGCGAGGGCCACTTCTGCCATCTCTCCTCAATCCGCCATGTTTCCCTGCTGGTGACTGCTCTATGTGTGGATGGGTGTGCCTGAGATCATAATTATAGAAGCTAATATTCATCATTAAGACTGACTCCATGGCAGACTGTTTGAGCATCTCACAGTCAATCTTCTCAACAGCCCTATGAAATTCACGCCACCAGTATCTCCAATCACTGGAAGAAACAAAAGTTCTGAGCAGTTAAGTAACCTGCCCAACATTCCCAGCTGGTAGGGAACACAGCCAAGACCCACATGCAGGCAGTCTGCTTCTAGCTTCCCTAAGAGTTAGCAAATCCAAGAGTGGAAACCTTGGAGATGTAAAAGAGTCAGTTGCTGTGACTGAGCTGGTTCTTACCTTTTGTCTCCCAATTAACCCAAAGCTTCTATTACAGAGTCTAGAACAACTGTACTTTCAGATAGCCCAATATTATAATTTTACGGAAACCCAAGCCAGGTAAATACATGTTGGATAATAGATTTCTCTAGGCCAGGTGTGGTGGCTCCCTCCTTTCATCCTAGCACTTTGGGAGGCCGAGGCAGGAGGATCACTTGAGGTGAGGACTTCTAGACCAGCCTGGGCAACATAGCAAGACCCTATCTCTAAAAAAAGAAAAAAGAAGTTCTCTCTAAACAGATAACTGATAAAAATCTGTTATGACAAAAAAGGTAGAGAAACTTAAAACTGGAAGTGAAAGAGACTTTGAAGTCTTTGAAAGTGAATCAAAAGAAAAATCGCTGTAAACACAGGGAGAGTTTGCCAACTGAAGCCAAAGGGCAGGAAGGTCCGTGGGAAGGCTGCACGAGGACTCAGGCACTCAGCAAACAATTGGACTAGATGATTTCTAAGGACATTGCTAAACTCTCAGAAGCCGTTGTTCAATGAATAATTCCATTTTCTAAACTCCCAGGCTCAATGCTTTCAGTTTCATGAACTAAGTCACAGCAGATCAACACAGTTTTGTGCTTTCACCTGCCTCCTGAGCATTTCCACATCCAAATTTCATGGTGCCTTAGTCTCTGCATCCAAAACCCAAAACACTGGCTCCACTGCCCCCGTTTTCTGTGTCCCTTCTCTTGGTTAATGGTCTCACCAGCCCCAGTCACCCTGACTTGATGCTCACCGTCCCCCTCCACTCCTCTCACCTTCTCAGGCTTCACATCCAACTGGTCAACACGTGCCTTCAACAAGTATATCACCGTCAAAGACGTCTTCCCTCTTTTCCTAGCCCACTGCTGCCTGAATGGTGTAAGTAATCATACTACCATATTTACTGTGGATGAAAGAGACAAAGAGAAAAGTCATAGTCCTTCCCCTCAAACAGCCTGGTAAAGGAGGCAGGCGCATAAACACCTAACTTAAGATGTTGTGGCAAGAGGCAGAATGGAAGTAAAGCAAATTTGCAATAGATCAAGAGCTCCTCATAACCTCTCACCTAAACCCAAAGGCTCCTGACCCACATGCCTTCTGTACTGTACCTCCATCCAACCCATTCCTCACACCGCCAACATAATAATCTTCCTCTTCATCTACCACTTAGTGCTCAGGAGCTTTAAGAGGCTTACTTTTGTCGGTGGGAGGGTCAGTGCTAAGAGCACATTTGTGAGTTACGGTGTATATATCAATTATGGTTGAAGTGATGGGAGCGTACGAGCTTGTTCAGAGAAAGCATCCAAAGTGAGAAGAGAAAACGTGAGGATGAAACCCTGGGAAACAATGGCATTATAAGACTGACAGAAGAGTCAGTAAGAGCCTCTAAAAGAATATTCATGAGGTAGGATGGAAACCAGACAGGAGAAAGAATACAGGGATCACAGTGTAACAAGAAGTTGAGAACAATCGGTAGCATTGAACGCCACGAAGATTTAAGGAAGAGAACTGAAGACAGGCTACTGACTGCCTATCGATTAGTGAATGTTAAGCATTTCAGTCGATTGGAAGGATTAGAAATCAGGCTTCAAGCCAGGCATGGAGGGACATGCATGTTGTCCCAGCTACTTGGGAGGCTGAGGCGGGAGGATCGCTTGTACCTAGGAATTGGAGCCTAGCCAGGGCAACCTAGTGAGAACTCCATCTCCAAAAAATAGTCTCTAAAAGGTAAAAACCAAGTTTTGAAAATTAAAAAAAAAATTTTTTTAAAGAAATCACACTTCATTGGTTTGAAATTTGAGTGTGAGGTACAGGAGGGCAGCAAGAAACATAATTTCCCCTTTTAAGAAGTTTGGAAATGAAAGGGATATATTTAAAACACTCTGTCTTGTATTAAATTTATTTGAGCCCTTAGCGATTTGAGCCCTTGGCGTTTTGCTTTTAACTTTTATTTTTTTTAGAGACAGAGTTTCACTCTGTCCCCCAGACTATAGTGCAGTAACACAATCATAGCTCACTGTAGCATCCAACTCCTGGGCTCAGGAGATCCTAAAGCCTCAGCCTCCCAAGTAGCTAGGACTACAGGTGCATGCTACCAGGCTGGACTAATTTTTTTTTTTTTTTTTTTTTTTTGCTATATTCCCCGGTCTGGTCTCAAATTCCTGGCCTCAAGCGATCCTCCTGCCTTGGCCTGCCAAAGTGCTGGGATTACACGCAGGAGCCACCACATCTGACCTGGTGTTGCTTTTAAATGCTGAGGGCAGAGACTTCCTCTTTCTCTTTATATCCTTACCGACACCCCCACCCCATGGTGACCAGCAGTGTTCAATCCATGTGTGCTTATTTAGAACAATGTAAGTTTTCTATTATTGGCTTTTCTAAAATACTTGTAGGTGCTTGGAAGTAATTTCCATCGAAGATTTTTTTTTTTTTTTTTTGAGACAGAGTTTTGCTTTTTTTTTTTTTTTTTTTGAGACGGAGCTCTACCCAGGCTGGAGCGCAATGGCGCGATCTCGGCTCACCGCAACCTCCGCCTCCTGGGTTCAGGCAATTCTCCTGCCTCAGCCTCCTGAGTAGCTGGGATTACAGGCATGCGCCACCATGCCCAGCTAATTTTTGTAGTTTTAGTAGAGACGAGGTTTCACCTTGTTTACCCAGGGTGGTCTCGATCTCTTGACCTCGTGATCTGCCCGCCTCGGCCTCCCAAAGTGCTGGGATTACAGGCTTCTTTTATTTTCGTCCTGTTCATCTGTATTCTCTAAGAAGAAACAGATAACGAAGTAGACGAAGATAAACGTTCATAGATTCACATCTGAGCTATCACAAAGTCTGAACTTATGATAGCTCAAATTAAGATTTATTTTTGTAATTTTGGCAGTCCACAAACCCAGAACGTAAATCAGTAAGAAAACAGGATTTGCATCACAACTCACAGCATCACAAAACAGTTTGTAAACAACTTTGATAGGAATTCCTACTACCTAAAGCAGAGTTTCCCCAGCGTGCTTTCTGGGGCCAGAGACTGGAATGAACTTGATGTTGGATTCTGTTTCCCAGTGCCTGCTGCTCTCTTTAGTATCAGGGTTATGATTCTTCTCAACACCAGACCCCAAGCAGCCCCAATGGTTCTGAACACAAACCCATTTACAACGTGTAACAGCAGGGAGATTTCATGGGTGCTGTTTGCACAGAGGAAACGCTCACTTCCTCTGAAGATACCACAGGTTCGCGTCCTAGCCACTCTTCTCCAGCGGCCCTCCCTCAGGTTAGCCCCAGGATGTTCTGGAAGTCTCTTTAGCTGTAAGGCTGGCACCACCGCCTGTGTCTATGAAGTCTTCACCAAATCCAAGCGGGTGGAGAAGCACGAATTCTCTGGAGCAGGCCTGAACCTTGCCAGGTCCCCTGAACATCTCCTAAGCCTTTCCAACATGGAGGGCTCGCCCGGCCTGCTGGGAGCCAGAGTCCGTCAAGCCGGGTCTGCCGGGCTGAGACTTGGCACGCCACGCCCCGGGCGCTGCAGCTCCCGGCCCAGCCCTTCCGCAGCGGCCTCCAACACCCAAACTCTGCGCACACAGGCCCTGCAGACAGAGAGCAAGCACTCGGTGAAACACGGGTCAGCCCATCCCATTAGCGACACCGGAAGTTAAGGATCTTGACAGCGGAAATGGAGACCAAGTGGGATTCCACCCATGGCGCCCTCTACCTTCTGCAGGCTGCAGTGCAGGTCATGGAGCACCTCCGCGCACCCACAGGGTTCAGCGTGACCTAAGCCCAGAGCTTCCCCTTGGCGAGAAAGTCGTCTTGCATGTCCCTTTTATGTTCCAAATGCTGCCCTGTTGTTCTGAAACATGAGTTAACCGCTCACCAAAAGACCCCTCAACACACAGGCTTGCAAGCACTGAAGTTCCTCCCTTAGCCAGTCTTGGGAAAAGAAGCGTTAGAGAGACCCATCCACGCCTCGCCTCTCTAGGGGGTGCTGAAGTTTTTTACTGACATATAAAAAAGGAAATAACTTGAATTCATTGGAACGTAAAGTGGCTTGTTCCAGCTCTGTCTCCGCCAGAGAGGCACTTAGTCATTTCTTCTCTTGTCCATCATAACAGGCACGGCGTCCAACACATTGCCCAACTCAAATCCTGTAATTCCCTCTAAGTCTATCATAACCTTCCAAAATAAGCTTGTTAGTTTAAAATAGCCTTGTAAATAGCACTCACCAACTCACACAGAGCAAATAATGATTTGTACCTGAAAAAAAGGAAAACTGTCAGCATTTGGCTCATCCTCCAGGAAAAAAAAAAATGATGTATTTATGGGCCACTGTTTTAGTAATATTTACTGGAAAACATAATTTTTATTTTTTATTGCAAGAATAAAACATGACTATTAGGGAAATGTTAGAAAACACGGCTAAGAAATAAAATAATAAAATAAACTATAATCCCAGGCTGGAGACGTAGCTTATGTTAACATTTTGATTGGTGCCCTTCCAGGTCATTCTTTCTCTCTTTCTCAAATTCATCCTCAAAATGAGATTGCAGTGCTCACCATCCTTTTTGGCAAGGCCATTTTGAAGAGTGAAATCTGTGTCAAGGAATAACTGAGCACCCTGGGCAGTTTTAGCCACTGAAACCCAACCAGCCTCCTGGAGTGTCAGGTCATGTTCATTGGGTTCAAACCGTAACAGCTTCATTGGGTGCTCAGCCACATTTTAATTCCATGTCATGGTTCTGGGCACTGGGAGGGAGCAAGGGTTGGGGGAGCCAGGAGGACTTACTGTAAGTCAACATGTTTGTTGATCCTGGAACATTAGCTGAGCCAGAGGACAAGGATGCCTTGCAGGGCAGACAGACAAAGAGTGGAGAGATGGTGCCACCACACAGGAGGGTAGGCTGTATTCTCAGGGGGACAGACCCTGGGGAGCCTCTCCATCTGTGGAAATGACGGTGGTCAATGCCTCATGCTCCGCAAGGCTTTGGGTCCTTCGGAAGAGGGCCCTCTTCCAGTAGTAGACTTGTTTATTTGGCATTTAACCAAAAGCATTAGGGCTCCTTTCAGAAACATTTGGTCAGGAGCCAATCATTTTAGCATATACTGCAGAGAAAGGAGGTCAATTTAAAGAAAGTTTAGATAAAACAACAGTAGACACAACAAAGCAGCCCTTTAAGGGGCAAAGATGTGGGTGCAGTGTTTCTAGGGAAGGGACACTGACCCCATTCCCTTGAATATGGACAAAGAAACTCATCAAAGAAGCTCACCAAACCCAGTCATTCATAAGCATGAAAGAGGCCCTCATGCCTCTGCACCCTGGCCAGGAACCAAAGACTCCATCAGCTTTGACACAATCAGTCCTATTAATATGGAGAGGCCTTAGGATTGGAACAAATTCTTCTGGGCAGTCAGCTTGCCTTAAATGATCTGCCAAAGCCCATCCCAGTGTCGTTCGCACTCTGGCAGAAAACTATCAATACTTTAAGAGGGGAAAAGGACAGAAATGGAGCTCACATTTCCTGAGCTCTTGCGAACTACAGAGCATTCCACGTTACCTTGTGTTGCCTTCACAGAAGCCTCAGTGTTACTGTTCCCATTTCACAAATGAGAAAGCTGAGGGTCTGATGGCTTTAAGGGACTTGCCTAGGGTCCCCCAACCATGTGTCAGAGAACCCAACTCAAAGCATGGGTTCTGGATGTCATCTTTTTAACTTCTAAGCTATTCTGGTCCCAATCTTCTCCTTTTCAGCGTTCTTTATTTACCATTGATCCTTTCCCCACTTTCATCAGAGGAATAATGAGTCTTTACAGGGCATTATAATGAATGAGGAATCTTGTTTTTCATAGCTGTCCTTCAGGAAAGAACCAGAAATTGAGATGAGGGTGACCTTCACGTAGATGCAAACTTTTTTATTCCTCTGTTTTAGCTTAATTAACAAAGAAGCACATTGCACATTTAACATTGAATATTTATTAAATGTCACTATTATTTATCATTTAATATTTATCTGATACTTAGCCAGTCCTCCAAAGACACAAATGGAGGGTCAAAAACTGAAAAGCAGGAAAGAGAAAGTAAAGAGAGTGGATAAGACATTCAAAGTTTGAGGGAGGACCAGAAGTGGTGGCCCACACCTGTAATTCCAGCACTTTGGGAGGCCGAGGCGGGCAGATCACTTGCAGTCAGGAATTCAAGACCAGCCTGGCCAACATGGTGAAACCCCGTCTCTACTAAAAATACAAAAATTAGCCAGGCATGATGGTGGGCGCCTGTAATCCCAGCTACTCAGGAGGCTCAGGCAGGAGAATTTATTGAACCCGGGAGGCGGAGGTTACAGTGAGCTGAGATCATGCCGCTGCACTCCAGCCTGAGTGGCAGAGTGCGACTGTTGAAAAAACAAAAAACAAAAACACAGGTTGAAGGAGAGGATAAAGTTTGTCATCCCGCGAGTTCTTGCGTATTGTTCTTCCTGTACCCAAAGCCTTACCCAATAATGCAGTTGCCTTCAAGTAAAAAAGCAACGCTTCCCTGGGCAGGGGGCTGGCCACAGCGCACACTGCATGCGAGGCCCCTGTCCACAGGACACAGACTCCAACTGTGGTTTTCCGGGGTGGGACCGATGGCCCTGGGCCATCTGCGCTCTCTCAGCAGGACCCCACCAGGTTTCACCGTGACAGCTGAGCGGAGCTAAGATTGCAGCCTTCAGCACTCTGGAAAAAAACAGCTGCTGATGTTCCTTTGCTGTGCTGGCCTGGTCTCCATTGGTCAATGGGACATTAAGGTCTTTGCTATTCATGCAGCAGTTGGAATCTCTGTCCATTTAAGGAAGGAAGCCGCAGGGTAATCCAGCCCTGGCTGTGCCAGCGACCAGTGACTCACTCATTTCTGCCACGTGAACTGTGGGTGAACCCGGGTCCTTCCTCAGACGTGGTCTACAGCCTGCACTCGATTAAACTTAATGGATTCCTGAGGAATACGTGCGGTCTATATATTAAGTCAAATTAAGCCTCATGCGCCATAAACCATGCTCTCTGTTTGTTTTGATAACATTAGCGAATAGGAAGGAAGAAGTTCAGGTCTGGGAAAAGAGCAAGAACATGGCCACCTGGGTTTACCCCAAAGGGAATCCAAGCCAGTGCCTACCTGGTACACTTGGAGGGCTGAGGGTTTTGTCCCAGGGGCACACGGGGCTGGGAAACGCTAGGGAATAGCATAGGGCTGAGCATGGTCCTTGAGTGAGGAGGCACTGCTGTATCCTTGCTAGCCATGTAACCCTGGGTATCTCATTAATGTCTCCTGGCCTCAGTTTCTTCATCTGTGGAATGGACCATCCGCACTTCATAAAGTTGGCATGAGAATAAAATAAGTAAAGTGCTGTATTAGTTCATCTGCATTGCTATAAAGGAATACCTAAAACTGGTCATTTATCAAGAAAAGAGGTTTATATGGCTCAGGTTCTGCAGGCTGTGCAAGCGTGGCACCAGCATCTGCTTGGTCTCTGGTGAGGCCTCAGGGAGCTTCCGGTCATGGCGGAAGGCAACAGGAGCCAGCAGGTCACACGGTGAGAGCGGGAGCAAGAGATGGAGGAGGAGCCAGGCTCCTTTAAACAACAGGATCTCACACGAATTGGAAGAGTGAATCCACTCATCACGGAGAGGATGGCACCACGCCATTCACGAGGGATTCGTGTCCATAACCCAGACACTCCCATCAGGCCCCACCTCCAACATTGAAGAATTACATTTCAACATGACATCTGGAGGGGACAGATATCCAAACTATATCAAGCATTTAGCACAATTTGTAGCAAGGGTGAATAGTAAGAACTAATAAAAGATGGGAATGTACATGTTTTTACTCATGTATATGTGCACACATATGTGTACTAATACATATATGTATCTCTATATATGTATATACATGTATACATACCTATACATAAAGGTGTATGTATATGTACTATATATAAGTGAATGTGTATAAATATATGTATATATCATATATGTATATGTATGTAAGTGTATATATTTGTGTGTGTGTCTATATATATACATAATTATATATCAGCCTTTGTATATATATTGGGCCACAAGTGTCAGAAAGCCTAGGCAAGGTTGGCAGAGGGGCCACAGTGCCTGGGAAGCAGTGGGCAGAGGAAGGGGTGTGACCCTAGGTGCCCAAACCTACCCAGGCAGTAAAAGAGCTTTCTCAGCCAGGCGTGGTGGCTCACACCTGTAATCCCAGCACTTTGGGAGGCCGAGGCAGGCAGATCACAAGGTCAGGAGTTCGAGGCCAGCCTGGCCAACATAGTAAAACCCTGTCTCTACTAAAAATACAAAAATTAGCCAGACATGGTGGCGCACACCTGTGATCCCAGCTACTTGGGAGGCTGAGGCAGGAGAATGGCTTGAACCCAGGAGGCAGAGGTTGCAGTGAGCTGAGATCATAGCACTGCAACCAGCCTGAGTGACAAAACAAGACTCCATCTCAAAAAAAAAAAAAAAGATGTTTCTCTTCGAGGCCCGTTGAGATCTGGGGAAGGGAAGCCGATGTTACCGGGTGGGCCTCTTAGCAGAGAAGGGCCGTCCTTTCGTGTCGTTTTTGCTGTTTCTGAAAACTGAAATGAGAGGCTATAACTGCTGCCAAGATTTCTTCATCTGTGGAATGGCCCATCTATAGTTCATAAAGTTGGTGTGAGAGTAACATGAGTTGAGTGTTGTATTAGTGCGTTTGCGTGGCTATAAAGGAATACCTGAGACTGGTCACTTACGGAGAAAAGAGGTCGATGCGGCAGATGATTCTGCAGGCTGCGCTAGCGTGGAGCCGGCATCTGAATCCAAAGACTCTCTAAAGGGAGAGCCAGTGGCTAAACTGCCGCCGGAAACGATGTCCAGCATGGCAGACGTCTGCTTTTCTGGGCCTTCCTATAGCTGACCCGGGCAGTTCTGTTCCCAGGCCCTCGGGAGGGAAGAAGCGTAAATCCAAGCAGCTGCAGGACGGAGGAGTAGGCTTTACTTTTTCCAGCAATGAACTTGTCCCAACGATGCCACTAGCAATCTGGGCCCGTAACACAGCACAGGACATGCTTTTCTATACAGCGATCCTCAGGGGCTGCCTCTTGCTCCTTCTTGCCTTGGTCTCCCATCAGAGAGCAGCCTCTGGAAGCACAATGCCTGGTAGAAGGCGACGAGAATGAGCAAACAGGCCATCATCGTTCAGACAGCCAGTCTGCTCTAACTCAGGGAGGGACTTCTGATCCCTGAGCTCCAGCGACCCTCGGTGTCCTCCTCTGGCAATGAGGACAAGTGCATTGAACCTCCCAGGGCTTTTGTGAGGACCCAATGTGATTGCGTGTACAGGCACGTGGTGGGGCCTTGGACGTCAATACAACATTGCACACGTACCCCTCTTTCAGGGATTTGCACACCCTAGGGGGTCCTGCAAGTTGGCTCATATTTTTGCCCCCAACACAGTGGTGACATTAAAATGCATGAAAGGACCACATCTCGGGCCTGCAACCATCAGTCTAAGAATGCTGGAGCCGCAGTCCGGGGTCTGTCACTGCCTGCCTGGAGAGGGAGTTTCAGCCTTTTGGCCACGACACCCGTGGGCAGGAGAATCTAGCTGTTGTGGGAAGAGTGAGTACCGAAACTCAGAAAGGTTTTCAAAATCAATTTTGTTTTACTTTGAGTTTTACATGGGAACCATTCCAAAAAGATCTGGAGCTTAGCTGTGGGCTGCATGTTGGTAGCAAGAATGTCCAATAATACATGTTCTTACATAATGTGAGAGTCTATGCCATCCAGCACTTTCCGCAGCATGTGGGCAGGTGCAGGTGGGTGAGGAGTTTGGGAAGCAGCACAGAATATCTCAGCACCAGGAACCCTGAAAAGGAGGGCAGCAGGCACACTGACACATCAGCACCTTCGCAGGGGCCTCCTTCACACCTGGTTACTACCTATTTCACAGGAGGATATCGTCTCCCTCGGGTCAATAGTTCTTCACCAAATCATCACAGTGAAATGAACCGAGGCCCTATTACACAGCTGTGGTCTTCAGCTCCCTTCTTTGCTTTCCAGTCACAGACTTTGGGGCGTTGGCCCATCTCTTTCTACCCCTTTTGTCAACGCCTTGGCTCTGGAATCCTTCCTCTCGCCTCTCCCCACCCAGGGGTGGTGCTGACCTTGCCCTGGAAGGAGGAACCCTTGGCAGCACTGGGTGGAAAGGCGCCAGCGTGGCTGGCAGGAACCAAGGGACAGATCCCAGGAGACTGTGTGGCTATTGACTCTCCTGCCAATTGTCTGGAGGGAGAAGCACAAAGTGCCCACTGTGAGAGGTGCCTATCAGGCCATGCCAATCAGTGAGGGGACGACAGTGTGTGCTTCTGTGATCCGGAGGCTGAATGTGGCAGGGGCGGGGAGGAGCTGGGAGGCAAACCTCTCCAGCCTCGGGGATGGGGAGCTGGGGAATGTGCGAGGGAAGGGCCGTCTCGCAGCCTGCCCCACATCCAGTAACTGGCTTCGCTGAGATTCTTTGTCAAATTCAAGAGAGGCCAGAGGGAGGATGTGAGAAACAGCATCTCTGTAGAAGAAACTGAAATGCAATCTCACCTGCATAACTGCACTTGTGGAGCTCTGTTTCTTAACTTGTTCATCTCTCGTTATCAAAAGAGTTTCTGTGTTTCCAGTGGCACTTTCCAGAAAAATAGAAACTGGGAAGGAACTCTATGTCACTTTCTGTGTAAAGTGAAATAGTCCTGACAAATCAGCTTTAAGGGAGAAGGCCCGAGGCTCCCTCTCAGATCCAGAACTTTCCTCCAGGGTCCCCAGACAGACAGGTGTCCAACCCATTTTCTCGGATGCAACAAGTAGGCGCCAACTTGGGAGCTGGAGGTCACGAATGAAAGAACACACTCAAATGTGCAATTCCTGGGCCCCGCCAGTTGAACCCTTCCAGGAAAGGGTTGCTGAGTCTCTCCTTGGATCCATGAGGCCCGTTCTGGGGCACTTACCCTGGTCTCCCTTGCCTAGGAGTAATGTTCGTTTTATTAGCCCCTCTAAATGTCAAACCCCTTGAGAGCAGGAACTTAAGCATTTGGGGGTTCTCTGGAGTCCTAAGCTCAGAACCTTGTAATTGACCAACACTCAAAACGTGTTAAATGAAAAAAAAAATAGGACTGGGAATACATGGCAGAAATAGCCTCCTCGCTGCTCTCCCGCCCATCTTGCATGTTACCATGGCATGACTGAGTGAGTGAGAAATAAATCGGAGACTGAGACGTAGTTAACAGAAAGCTTCTGCAGTCTTTCATCTGGTCCCCAGGGTTCATAAGTTTTTCCTCGGGGTTCAAGTACTGCAATGTGAAAATGCCAAGTTAAGACAAGGAGGTACAGTGTCAGGCCCAGTGCTGGGGAAACTAGGTTTGCCCTGAGGGTGAGGAAGGGAAGGAGGAGGAGACACATCCACTTCTGGGAAGAGGGAGAGGAGTGGGCAGGGATGGGCTGGGGACGCACCGCCCCCAGAGAAACGGCTCCTCTCGTGCCCAGGCTGGGAGGAAGAGCTCACCAAGCACGTAGCGTCCAGGGCTCCCTGCACTGCAACCAAGGAAGGAAAGAAGGTGCTGGGCCCCGGCCCGTGGCAGGGATGGGAGGAGGAAGCATTGCTCCTACTGGGGGACGTTAAGACCAGGAGATACCACTTTACTCCTGAGAGTGGCCATTACTGAAAAATCAGAAAACAACAGATGTTGGCGTGGAGGTGGTGAAAAAATAAATGCTTATATGCTGCTGGTGGGAATGGAAGTTAGTACAGGCACTGTGGAAAACAACACGGAGATCTCTTAAACGACTCAAAGGAGATCTACCATTTAATCCAGAAATCCCATTACTGGATATTTACCCAAAGGAAATAAACTCATCACATCAAAAAGCCATCTGCACGCCTATGTTTATCATGGAACAATTGCAAAGATGTGGAACCGACCTGAGTGCCCATCCGCCAGCGAGTGCGTGAAGCAAACGTGGTATGTACACCCTGGCACACCACTCAGCCTCAAACAGGGATGAAATCGGCCGTTCGCAACAGACTGGATGGAGCTGGAGGCCATTATTCTCAGTGAAATAACCCAATGGAAAACCAAATGCCATACGTTCTCCCCCATAAGTGGGAGCTAAGCTATGGGTGGGCAGAGGCGGACAGATTGAAACAATGGACTTTGGAGACTCACAAGGAGGAGGAAGGGAAGGAGGTGAGAGAGAAAACCCACGTACTGGGTACAAGGTACACTGCTTGGGTGACCACTGCACTCAAATCCCAGATTGTCACCACTAGATCATCATCCATGCAGCCGAAAACCGCTTACACCCTGAAAGCTTTGGACAATTTTGTTGTTTTTGTTTTATATGTCATTTTTAGAGTTTTTTAAATTAGACTTTAAGTTCTGGGGTACATGTGCGGAATGCGCAGGTTTGTGACGTAGGCGCACGTGTGCCATGGTGGTTTGCTGCACCCATCAACCCGTCATCTACATTAGGGATTTCTCCTAATGCTCTCCCTCCCCCTGCCCCATCCCCTGACAGGCCCCAGTGTGTGATGTTTCCTCCCTGTGTCCATGTGTTCTCATTGTCCAACTCCCACTTATGAGTGAGAACATGCAGTGTTTGGTTTTCCGTTAATGTGTTGGTTTGCTGAGAATGATGGCTTCCAGCTTCAACCATGTCCCTGCAAAGGACATGAACTCATCCTTCTTTATGGCTGTACAATATTCCATGGTGTGTATGTGCCACAGTTTCTGTATCCAGTCTATTGTTTCTGGGCATTTGGGTTGGCTCCAGGTCTTTCTGTTGTGAACAGTGCCGCAGTGAACATACGTGGGCATGTGTCTTTACGGTAGAATGATTTATAATCCTGTGGGTATGTGAATTACCTATTTAATAAATGGTGTTAGGAAAACTGGCTAGTCATATGTATAAAGTTGAAACTGGATCCTTTCCTTACACAGTATACAGAAATTAACTCAAGATGGATTAAGGCTTAAATGTAAGACCTAAGACCATAAAAACCCTAGAAGAGAACCTAGGCAGTACCACTCAGGACACAGGCATGAGCAAAGACTTCATGCCAAAACATCAAAAGCAATGGCAAGGAAAGCCAAAATAGACTAATGGGATCCAATTAATCTATTGAAATTAAAATTAATACTACAGTAAATAACTGTAATAAAGTAACCTCATAGGAATCTTGAAACAATAAAGAGGACACGGAAAAACAGCAAGGACTCATTTCTGAGTATGCCGTTGAAAACTCATCCCCGGGACTATAACAGTTCCTCTGGGTTATCCCTCTCTATTCCCCAGCACCAATATCACACACTCACACTACCGCACACACATACACAGACACGGTTCATTCACGGCAGAGTGAAGCATCTTCCCTCAGACACATCAAGACTGAGGTTTAGACAAGCACCTCCTAAACAGGCAGGAAGAACTGAGTCTCATGAAAACTTTGTGCTGCACAGGACTGGGTGCAGTGGCTCACACCTGTAATCCCAGCACTTTTGAAGGGTGAGGTGGGTGAATCACTTGAAGTTGGGAGACCAGCCTGGCCACCACGGTGAAACTTGGTCTCTACTGAAAACACAAAAAGTAGCCAGGTGTGGTGGCGGGTGCCTGCAGTCTCAGCTACATGGGTGGCTGAGGCAAGAGAATTGCTTGAACCTGGAGATGGAGGTTGCGGGGAGCAAAGATGGTGCCACTGCACTGCAGCCTGGGCGACAGAGCGAGACACTGTCTCAAAACAAAAACAAAACAATGAGCAGCCCCAAAAACGCTATGCTGTAAAGAATGCAACTATGTTCACTGATTCTCTTAAAATCTGAAGCCTGTGGCAGAGCCCCTCCGTGGGGCGTCATTCTGCTGCCATGCACCAGCCCAACACAGCCTCGCACACCCACCATCAGATAATCTGGACAGGCTCAGATAATGTGGAGAACATTAGAATATTGAAGCCTGCATGTTGACATGATATAGGGAAAGGGAGATGAACATTCCTGAATCCTCAGCTCCCACCAAATGTCACACTCTCTCCAGACAGCCTCTGGCTCAATCTGGAGGTGGTGTGGCCAGAGGGTCTTTCATCTGAGTTAAACTGAAACTCAGACAAGAGAACTGAACGGTATAGGGGAGTGGGCTGGCTATGAAAGAGAGCTGTTGTTGGACCTCCTGAACCCAGAGAGAAGGAAGGAGAGAGAGCCAGGGACTCCGGTTGGGGCTCGAGGGCCCCTCCTGCTGCACCGGGAGCCTTGCTCTCCCCGACTCCCCAGCCCCCAGCTGTCCTGGTCCCTGCGGCGCACACTGTCTGCTGGCCAGTGGCTGGGGAGATCCAAGGCACTGCTTCATCCTGGTCTCCAGAAAGATGAGCTCCCTAAACAGAAATGGCATCTCTTTTCCATGCAGAAGCTCACTGCTGCCCCCTTCTTCAAGCCCATTCCCAGCGCCTCTGGGCATCCACCCTGTACCCAGACTACTGTGACAGCTCAGGGGGGAAAAGGACAAGCATCTGTGGACTCAAGGATCACAGAGCTCCTCACAAAAAGAAGGGATGGGACATTGCTCATGACTAAGTGTACTCCCAATGTCAGCGCACATCAGGGTAACGGCAAAGTCGGTAACCTGGATTGAAAGTGCAGAAGCGGGCTGGGCGCGGTGGCTCAAGCCTGTAATCCCGGCACTTTAGGAGGCTGAGGCGGGTGGATCACAAGGTCAACAGATTGAGACCAGCCTGGTCAACATGGTGAAACCTCGTCTCTACTAAAAAAAAAAAAAAAAAAAAAAAAATAGCTGGGCATGGTGGTGCGTGCCTGTAGTCCCAGCTACTTGGGAGGCTGAGGCAGGAGAATTGTTTGAACTCAGGAAGTGGAGGTTGCGGTGAGCCGAGATCGTGCCATTGCACTCCAGCCTGGGTAACAAGAGTGAAACTCCGTCTCAAAAAAAAAAAGAAAGTGCAGAACCCCCCTAGCCAAAGCTTCTGCATCCCCCAGCACAGTCCTGGTCTCAGATACTCTGTCCCCCAAAGCTGCTGAAATGTTCCAGCGTTTCTGATCTTTGCGGCATCTCAACACCATCTCTCCAGCTGCCTCTCACTCCGGGAAGCCGCAGGCTTGCATCTTTCAGACAGTGGCTACTTTAATTTGGAAATGGTGGTCCCTGCAATTCAGAGCGAACATTTATCTGTGGTGGCCAGCAATGTGCCTGGAGGAGGAGAGAAAAGGGATGGACGTTAGCTGAGGATTGCAAATGTTGGGCTGTCTCCACAATGGGAATGATGGGAGCCGGAGGCCGAGGCCTGAAAGTTGAGAATGTGTTTCCAGGCCTCGTAGAAGCAGGGGTTTGTGGCACGGGAGTGTGTGTGTGGCGGGGATGAAGAGGATGGGAGCTTGCTGTAAGCTGATGATGTGGGGCCTCGAACACCCAGCCTAGCAGTGCAGACTTGATGCTTTATGTCCATGTCACCTGAAAAACCTACTGTCCTCCCAGATGTGAACAGATGTTCCCTGAGGGATGGGGGTCTGGGTCCTATTCTCCATCCTTCCTTGTCTCAATATGTTCCCTGGAAGTCTGGCCTCTAGGAACCATGTGATCTGGACTCCCGTGACCTTTGGCCTGGGCTTGGGTTCAGTCGGTACCGGGGTTGAAAAAGAAGCCAGCGCATTTATCCCCGAGCTCCTTGCTGCCATGCTGTTTGTGAGTTTCAGGCAGTGCCCCTCCCAAGTTCATACCTGGGCTGGGCTGGGCTCTCCTCCCTCGTGGTGAAGCCTCAGGTGGGAGCAGCTTCGCTCTGCTGCCAGCCCCCGGGTGCCTCATCATCCCCTTGCTGGTTTTCTTGCTCTGTTCCTGCTTCTGCTGACAGTCCTCACAATGACTCCTTTCATGAGCCATCTGTTTCCTGCCAGGATCCCAGTCAAGGAAATTTGGGGGACACGCCTGAAAATTTGCAAAGCTTATTAGCGTCTTAAGGCTCCAAAAAGTCCTGCAGTAAAGAAACCTTCAATTTTGTTGGGTCTACAAAACGCTTTTTTAACTTTTTTCATGGAAAATATTCCCTGAAATGGAATTAGTTCTTCCAGAGTGTAGGAAGTACTGCTGTAAATGAAGGGTCATCTGAGGAGGGGAGTGACAGGCTCAAAGCGATGCTTTGGGAGAAGCCATGGGACCCCTGGGAAGGATGGATTAGGAAGAACAGAAGCAGGGACATCAGAAAGGAGCATGGGTAATAAATAGTCTCAGCATGAAGGTGTGATTTGGATCACGGCAATGGGAAGGAAGGGACATGAACAGGCTCTCCTGGACCCCTCCCACCAGCCCCCATGAGGCTGGGCAGCTACTGTGGCCTCCGGCAAGAACAAAGCCTCTGCCAGGGGTGAGTTCTGTGATTCAGCCTGATGTCCTCTTCAATTATTATTTTTATCATCAAATTTCATTTTACTGGGATTCTTATTAGGAACACTCAGAAGATAGTACCTAGGATGCAAAAAGCAGGCAGGGCCCAGAAGCAGAATGTAATCTGCTCATCCAATACAGTCAACTCTTTCTCACCAGTGGTTGTATGATTCAAAAATAGCACCCATTTTGATGAGAAAACTGCAGATTTTAATAACTGTGATGACCTGTTATTAAAGAGGAATTGGGATGCGGAGGAGCATTTCGGAGGGCCACGGGTGGGCAGCCCCGGCCTCGTGTGAATGGGAAGCGTCCTTGGTCGAAGGTCTTGATTTGTGAGGTTTTTGTGCCTGTAGAACTTTTGCCACGTCCTTCAATAAAACTCGCACTGCTGTATCCTCCTGACAAACTCCGAGGACCAAAGTGGTCCCCGCAGCCCCCCTCTGCCTTCCTTAGCGCCGCATTATGACCAGGGAGATGACACAGCCACTCCGTCTTCCTGTGTTCACATTTCTGCTTCATATTTTTACCTTAATTGAACTTTTTCACAGAAATCCAGAGATAGAGCTGAGAACCCCAGGCCTCCCAACAGACACGTTGTTAAGGTGGTGTAATCAATTCTCAATTATTTTCAACAAGGAAAGGAAGCATCAGAGCTGGTACCAGAGGACTCCAGGAAGCTGCTCAGCAGCTGGAGTCACAGAGGAGGGACTCAGGGGCCAGGCACACACCCTGCAGGCACCAAGAGTTCCTGGTCAGATAAATGCCTAAAGGAGCCCTTTCTTTCTTTTCTTTTCTTTCTCTTACTCCTTTTTTCCTCTATCCCTCCCTTCTTTCTTTCCCTCCCTCCCTCCCTCCCTTCTTTCTTTCCCTCCCTCCCTACCATCTTTCTTTCCCTCCCTCCCTCCCTCTCTCTTTTCTCTTTCTTTCTTTCTCTCTCTCTCTCTCCTTCTCTCCTCTCCCTCTCTTTCTCTATTTCTCTATTTCTTTCTTTTCAGAGTTCTGCTCTTCTTGCCCAGGTTAGAATGCAATGGCATGATGTTGGCTCACTGCAACCTCTGCCTCCCAGGTTGAAGTGATTCTCCTGCCTCAGCCTCCTGAGTAACTGAGATTACAGGTGCCTGCTGCCACACCCAGCTAATTTTTTGTATTTTTAGTAGAGACAGGGGTTTCACCATGTTGGCCAGGCTGGTCTTGAACTCCTGACCTCAGGTGATCCACCCACCTTGGCCTCCCAAAGTTCTGGGATTACAGGTGTTAGCCACTGTGCCCAGCCAAAAGAAGCCCTCTCTAAGTGGTTTGGATCCAGGGGACATAGCCTTCCTGGCGAAGAGCACATGGGTCTTGAAGACACAGTGGCTGTCTCCAATACCCAGGAAGAGTCATGGGAAAAAGCAAAAGAGCTTATTCCCTGCAGCTCTGAAGAGCAGCCTAGAACAAATGGTCAAAAGGCTAGAGTGCTATAAGGCCAGGTGTGGCGGCTCACACTGCAATCCCAGCACTTTGGAAGGCCTAGGCGGGAGAACAGCTTGAGCCCAGGAGTTGGAGACCAGCAGGGCACCATAGTGAGACTACGTCTCTACAAAAAAATTTTTCAACTTATCCAGGTTTGATGGCATCCACCTATAGTCCCAGCCACTGAGAAGAGACTGGCAGGAGGGTTCCTTGAGCCCAGGAGTTCCAGGTTACAATGAACTATGATCTCACCAATGCACTCCAGCCTGGGCGACAGAGTGAGACCCTACCTTAAAAAAATGATGCCATGGCACTATGGACTCTGGATGGTAATGATGTGTCAATGCAGGTGCATCATTCATCCGTTGTAAAAAATGCACCGCTCTGGTGGGAGGTGTTGATAACTCAGGAGGCTACTCTGTGGAAGGGGCAGGGAGATGGATGGGCAGAGAAAATACAGGAAATCTGTACCTTCTGAATTTTGCTGTGAACCTAAAATTGTCCCCTGTAAAAATAAAGTGTATTTTTAAAAATGATAGACTTGGCCCAGGCACGGTGGCTCATGCTTGTAATCCCAGCACTTTGGGAGGCCAAGGCAGGTGGATCACCTGAGGTCAGGAGTTCAAGACCAGCCTGACCAACATGGAGAAACCCTATCTCTACTAAAAATATGAAATTAGCCAGGAGTGGTGGCACATGCCAGTAATCCCAGCTACTTGTGAGGCTGAGGCAGGAGAATCACTTGAGCCCGGGAGGCAGAGATCATGCCATTGCACTCCAGCCTGGGCAACAAGAACAAAACTCCATCTCAAAAAAAAAAAAGGAAAAAAAAAGACGGGCTCAATTTTCCTTGAACTGAAGGAACCTCCTAGGATCTGTGGCATCTCTCAGAGGGTTGATAATAGCAGTAGCACAGATCTGACTTATCACTGGGAGTTGATTATAAAACAGTTCCACCCGCATTTCAATAGACAGCAGCTCTTCTTAAGAAAAAAGGGGGTAGACCTCTCCAGTGATCTCAAATGTATCATATGCCAAAGTTCATGTAAAAAACAAGATACACAAGCCGCTTGCAGAAAAGCCTTCTAGTCCCTAAACGCGGTTAACATCTTTCCTTGTCACGGTGCCCATAGAGTGGTCTATTCCATTTTTCTCAGGAAAAGGATGGATCAGTTTCCAAATTCTAAATCTTCATGTCCAAGGGACTGGGTGAAACAAAAAATCTGATCTTTACAGAGCTCTTCTCAATGGGAGCTGAAAAGTGTTCCAGGCCTGAAGAGCTTCATGAGTCAGTTCAAGGCTATTAGGTTATTTATGGTTTGAGATCATCAAATGCCACAATCATAAATTAGTCAAAGATAGAAACATATATACACACACTTCGTTTTTAAAAGAAGGAAGGATCTGTAAACACTTCTACAGCTCTTCCCGGCTACTGCAGATCAGACTGTATTGACAAGGTGTAGCTGACACAAGAAAATGGGAGATTTAAGTGCCCCCCAAAAGCAATTTTCCTCACAAATCTCCAGACAATAAGGGCTGAGACGATGCACATTATATAGTTGCTTAAAATGGGATGAAGCTGGCGTGGTGGCTTATACCTGTAATCCCAACACTTTGGGAAGCCAAGGCAGGAGAATTGCTTGAGCCTAGAAGTTTGTAACCAGCCTGGAAAGCATAGAAATACCCCCATCTCTAAAAAATATTTAAAAATTAGCTGGGGGTTGTGACGCATGTCTGCAGTCCCAGCTATTTGTGAGGCTGAGGTGGGAGAATCTTGAGCTCAGGAGGTCAAGGCTGCAGTGAGCCGTGATGGCACCACTGCACTCCAGCCTGGGTGACAAAGCAAGACCCTGTTTCGAGAAAAAAAAAAAACAAAAAAAAAACCCTGGGGTAATTTGAGAATATTCAGGGACATAGGTTAGACAACCCCCCACCAACCTTTCCAAGCTGAAGATTTCATGAGACCCCCCCCCCACATCCCCACCACCCCTCATCTGCAGAGTCACCAAGAAGAAAGCAAGCCCTTGAGTTATGGAGAAATGGTCCCAAGGAAACTGGAGTCAGTGACAATATAACTGCTGGGGGAAAAGTGAGCAGACCGTGGGCAACAAAGAAATAAGAATAAAATAAAATAAAGCTGCTGGAACATGCAGTCTTGACGCCTTTCCATTTGAAAGTCGACACATCTGCTAACTCGCTGATCTTCAGAGAAAACCCCAATTTATAGATATGGATGTTGACGCTTCAAGGGTACACAGATTGCTAAAGATTGAAGAGTGGATAATATCCATGCCAGAAAGAAAAGGAAAGTGCTCTAAGGCTGTAAACACCTACTCAAGTCGGGGCACTGGCACACAAAACAGCTGCACGGGCTGCTTTTCAGTATGTGGGCACAACAAGCCAGTGGAGTCACCATGTGTTTTCCAACCAGGTAAAGCAGCATCGTGTGCGACAGTGTAAGTCAGCTGAGCTCACTGCATGCCCTTCCAGCTGCTGAGAGCCCACCTCCCAACCAGGGTCTCTTTGTTTCTTTCCAGGGGCTGAACAGTGATTCATCGGAGAATTGGCGGCTTGGAAGTCAAGACTCCATAACGCGCTCTGTGGGAAGGAGTGGCGTTCATTTTCCTGAGCCCTAGAGATCCTAGAGTGGTCTGGCGAGAGTGCGTATCGACCTCCGTGTGCCAGGCTCAGCTGCGTGCCCGGCTGAGTAAGGACAAGATTGGAAGCCACGGCTCCTTTCTGGGATTTTGTAGAAAATATCTCACTGTTTCCCTTTACGCAGCTGAGTGCCCGAAACACCTTGTTAGTAGGAAGGGTGGGCTAAGCATCTCGTGTGCCCCTCTGGCCAGCTCATATCTTGGAAGGAACAAAAATCAATAGAGATCGATGTCCAGCTTTCCTGGAACAACTGTGGAAGAAGTTTCCAAAGGCAACAGGAAAGGAAGCTTTGCAGGTTTGTTAGGGTGACGGAGGAGGGACCCACGCGGGGGTTCATTCTACCCATCAGAAACCAAAGTCCTCAGGGAAGGAGGGAGGGGCTGGAGGCACCTGGGCTTATCCTCTGCCTTCTCTGTGGCCTGTCTCATCACCGCAGGGGCTCTGCAGACCCCTGACCGAGGCCTGCCTGGGCTGCCATCTATGCCCACAGGGAGATTCCACCTGGATTAAGTAGAGAACTTCTGAGAGCTGCTCTGTATGTTTTCAGGAGAAAAGCAAGCATGTGGTAGAAAACAGAAAATAGGTCTCCAAAACAGGATCGGAGGAAGGGCAGGAGGAGAGAGAATGGTGATAAGCTGCCTGTGTCCTGCCAATTATTATATGCTCTGCTTATGTTTTCAGCAAGTGATTTTCCATTCCTGGGGAAGCGGCTGCAGTGAGGGTCACCAGGACTATCCCTCACGCACCAGGAAAAATACAGTCCCAAACAGAAGCAGTGTCTGCCCGTGGGTCAGTGAGTGCCAGAGTATCACGGGTCCTGTTCTGACCCGGGGTTCTCCTCCCTTGGGTATTTTTAAACATGTTTGTAATCCTTTCAGAGCTGAACACGAAGACGTGGGTGATGCCTGATCAGCCAAAGTCTGTCTGAAATGGGACAGTGTGGGCACTCCTCCCCCTGTCTGCTGGGACACTGTCCTTCCCTGGAGATACTACTCTTTAAGACACTAGCCTGGTTGACAGCAAAGGTGGAAATACTGTCCCTTCCTCAGGGAAGCCTGCCTTGATTTCCCCAGACAAGCTTCTCCCAACACAGCATACTACTTAGAACCATTATAGTACTTTATAGTACTTAGTACTTCATATAGTACCTCATGGTACTTAGTACCATTATAGTACTTTATAGTACTTAGTACTTCATATAGTACCTCATGGTACTTAGTACCATTATAACCAACCAACTAGTTAAATTGGGTGCTTACCCATTTAGGCTTTGCCTCTGTGCTGTGTTATAAACTTTTAGAAGGGGAGACCCTGACAATACAGTGTCTCTCCAGCTACTAGAACGGGGCCTGGTACACAGAAGGTACCCAGTGCCTACTTGTTGGATGAATGATTGAACAAACGAATGGCATTCTGGCCCAAGAGGGCACTGTTACCTGGAGAGAAAGGATGCAGGCCCTGAGCCTGTGGCTATTTGCTCATCCCCATTCTGAATGGCACAGCAAGAGAAAAGGCTTAGGATTCCTACAGACCAGCTTTGAATCCCAGTTCTGCCGTGTACCAGCTCTATGATGTTGGAGAGTTTTCCTATGTCCGATCCTCAGTTTCCTTATCTGTGATGTGGGGAAGAGTAACAGCGCCCACTTCAATGACGTGCTGGTATAAGGTGCCAAGCACAGTGTCTGGCACATAGCAGGTGCTAAATAAACATCAGTTTCCTTGGAAGGTCCGGAAGGGAAAAATAAACTGCACACTGACAATACGTGCAGAAGGGTAGTTGAGAGGGTAGCCAGAGAGGCAGCCCTTCTGGAGAGACATCCAGATTAGCATGTACAACATATCTAGATTACCATGTATCAGACATCTAGCTTAGCATATATAGGTCACGCATGAACCAGGCCTAGCAGTGGGGAAGACACTCTCACCTGTCCAGCCCAGTTAGTGGGGAACAAACTCCTTGAAAGAGATGAGGCTGTGGTATTGTTGGCCGGGAGCAGTGACTCACTCCTGTAATCCCAGCATTCTGGGAGGCCAAGGTGGGTGGATCATGAGGCAAGAGATCGAGACCGGCCTGGCCAAGATGGTGAAACCTTGTCTCTACTAAAAATACCAAAATTAGCCAGGCATGGTGGCGATCACCTGTAATCCCAGATACTTGGGAGGCTGAGGCAGAAGAATTGCTTGAACCTGGGAAGTGGAGGTTGCAGTGAGCAGAGATCCTGCCACTGCATACCAGCCTGGTGACAGAGTGATACTCCATCTCAAAAAAAGAAAAGAAAGAAAGTGATGAGGCTGTGCTGGTATCTTTTAAACTATGCACAAGAGGGCTATAGAGCAGAGGATGCTCATTCCACAAAGTTTGCAAACCCAGCAAGACAACCATTAGTCTCTGTGTCCGAAGGAGAGCTGGGCCCCAGCCCTCTGGGATCTCCATGATACTCTTCTTCCTATGAGCCTTGCTGTGACCTGGGCAGGCCCAACTCCCAGCCTCAGGAGAGATGAGGGACAGGGGCATGGGGCAGGAGAGGAGAGGTGGGAAGAGAAGGCCAGGCGTGGGCACATTAGCATGGAGCCAAGCAGGACAAGGGAGCTAGAAGAAGTGTGGGAGAGGCTGCAAAGGATAGGTCTGAGGCTGGGGAGTGACATGTGACACGGAACTGAACATGTCATGTGTGATCATGCATCCATCTTTTTTCTTTTTGAGATGAGGTCTTTTCTCTGTTGCCCAGGCTGGAGTGCAGTGACATGATCATAGCTCACGACAGCCCTGAACTCCGGGGCTCCAGGGATCCTCCTCCCCCAGCCTCCCCACTAGCTGGGATTACAGGTGCACTCCATTATGCTGGACTAATTTTGTTTGTTTTTGGCAGAGATGGGGGTCTCGCTACATTGCCCAGGCTGCTCTCAAACTGCTGGCCTCAAGCAATCCTCCTGCCTCAGCCTCCCAACATGCTGGGTTTATTAGACACGCATCTGTCCTTTAAACATGCACATTCTCTGTCCTTAAAATAGGGCTGGGAGCAGCTGAGGCAGTGAAAAAACTGTCCTACTCATGCACCCACTCACTCCTTCACTCCCTTAGCAGACTCTTATCAAGTCTTCACCTCGTGCAGACAACGGGCTGGGGACAGAGTGATGGGCAAAGCAGACAGTCCATGGCCTCCAGAGAGTCCACTGTGGGAGAAAGCCTCCATATGACAGTCACAGCTGCAGAGACACTGCACCTGGCAGGTGCTAAGAAGGGAAGGGGAGGGGCTTCCAGCAGGCGCAGGTTGGGGGTCCAATCCCAGGCTCCCCTGCTTCCACCTTTCTTCGGGTGACTTCGGTATCCTGAACGGCCAGTCCTCTTCCTCCCGAGGAGGGAAAGGAGCAGGAAACCAATGACCTGTTCCTCAGCCCTGGTGATATCTGAGCCTGAGACCCAGAACAGCTGGGGCAGCCTTGAATACAGGGCCCAGGGATGTGGTCCAGGAGCCTGATGGGTCCCTCCCCGCCCCACCTTCCCCAGGTGGAAACGACAAAAGGAACGCTGCTTCCCTGAGTGCTTCATGGAGTCCTCACAGAGGAGGGTTCCCGACTCCACTTCGTAGATCAGGAAACTCAGACCAGAGAGGGGAAGAAAGCTGGCTGAGGGTTCACCGTTTTCAGAGGTGAAGTAGGACCCTGACTCAAGAACCCAGTGGCCTCCTATCCCAGGCGCTCTACCTCCCGAACAGGCTTCCTGGGGCCCTGGCCAGCTTGCTTGGAGGTTTACCAACCACACTGCCCACCCTTCCACCAGCCACAGCTGGGTCCTGGGTGAGCCCATGAGAAGAGGCCCCAGGACCCTCTAAAGCAGGCATCAGGGCCGCCCCAGCCCTGAGTCAAATGCTGAGCTCTTGGCCAGGGGCAGGAATCTCCAGCTCCCTCCTCCCTTCTGGCAGCAACAAGTGTGAGGGTTCCCCTCCCCCCGACCCCTATTCCATTGTAGCCGGGCGCTGCAGAGCAGCTGGCAAACACAGAAGCAAACACCTGTGTGCCAGATCTTACAGCTGCATGTGTGAAACGCGATCCGTCTGCAGCGCCTGTCACATGCCACGTCCAGTTGCTGCACTCGGGCAGGCTGGAAGGGGATCCATGGGAGAGAACTTTCCATGGCAGGATTTCAAAGCCCAGGCACCCACCCGTCCCCTTCCTCCCACCCCTAGCATTTTATTCTCTCCTCTTTTTTGGCACTCTGCATTTCCGGCTGACTTTGCCTCTCACTAACTCCCTAACGGTGAGAGAGCTGGGAGCTGGTGCCTCCGCAGAGTGACACCCTCTCCACGAGATAATAAAGCTACTTAGCGTGCCCTGAGGGCGCTTCATCTTCAAAGCGGTTGTTTAACCACTTGCTCCGAGGGGGCTGCACATCTGGCTGAAACTGGTGGGTTACCTTCAAAGCTGGGGTCCCTGGGGGACAGCCGGGGGCATCCTGCCCGGTGGGGTCTTCTCAGGCCTGCAGCTGCCAATGTGTCCAGCTGAGTCCTGGGCTCTTCACCTGCTTCTCAGAGACGCGCTCATTTGCTGCCAGAATCACTTTTAGGGCTTTGGTTGATGTTAACAATCCGCCTGCATATGGGAAAGGGAAAAAATAGGACACTTCACAGGTGCTAAAGAGGGTGGGAAGGGGAAGAAGGAGAGAACCAGCTGTTTCCAGATATCGAGTCACAGAATGTCTTTCCCCAGAAGGCGGCTTTGCAGGGGGATGACAGGTTTCCCCCACTACCAGCTAGGAGGCATTTACCATGATGGAAGAGAAAAGAGGAAATCAAGTCAGATCTCCCATATATCCATCTGACCTGAGTGCCACAAGCTCCGTGAGACCTCAGATGCCTTGGGGTTTGGGCCCAGCCAGGACATAGGAGATTGTCATTACACAAACAGACACCTGTCTATCAAACCCTAGTGCTTTACACGGGTTATCTCATTTATTCATCCGATCAATCAACCAATGTTTACTCAGTCAGTCCTCACTACAGCCTTACGCAGTGGCTTCTGTTATGACCTCCAATTTACAAGGGAAGAAAAACGAGGTTCGGGAAAGTCAGTGAACTTTAGGGAACCTGTGAAAGGTTGTCTATAGTAAGGTGGTAGAGAAAGCTCTGAGCCCAGGTCAGAGGTCTGGCCCCCGAAGTGAAGGAATAAGCCAGAACGCTGGTTGGGTCTCCCCATAGTCCTAAAACACTAGGCTTGATGACGTCGGTGGGAGGGCGGGGGGGGGGGGAACTAAGTGCAGATCGGCACACCTCGTCAGCGTGCTCCAAGGAGAAACCTCGGATTCATGTTTTCCAAAGTTCTCACCTCTCTCTCCTCAACTTTCCCTTCAACTAAACACATTGTGGAGCCCCATCTCCATTAACAAAATAAGAAAGTTAGTGGGCATGGTGGCGCAGGCCTGTAGTCCCCCCTGCTCAGGGAGCTGAGGTGGGAGGATCACCTGAGCCCAGGACCGGGAGGCTGCAGTGAGCTGAGATAGCGCCACTGCACCCCAGCCTGGGTGACGGGAGTGAGACCCTGTCTCAAACAAAACGAATAAATAAATAAACAGATAAATAAATACCATTCTAATTCCAGAAGTCATTTTCTATGAACCCAAATTAGTTTTTTTTACCTTTTCACTTTGAAAAATTCCACGGAAACTACATCTGTTGGCCCCACCGTCCCGCTTCCTGCGCGTCATCTCCACTGTCAGCCCTGTTACCACGGAAGGTGGCACTTTCTTGGTCCTGTACAGAATGTAATTTTCACTTGCCCCTGGAAAATCAATATGGAAAGGCTCTAATTCCGCAGATTTCGATTTTTCAGTGAAAAAGTGAAAATGAAACTCTGCGGGATTGCAGCCAAAATGGTGCCCTTGAGCCAACCGCAGTCTGGAGGGAGACTCAGAGAGTTTCCGAGAAAACACCAACTTTTGACGTTGTTCTGCTCAGATGACGCATCAGATGGGAGTGGAGGCCAGTGGGGGCCAGGGGTCTCTGAGGGTTGGCAGTGTTTTTTCCCTTCTCACTCCAGAGGGATTCGGGGCAAAACTCTGCCTGTCCCGAGGCGCTACTGACGGCCGGGATAGTAACAGGGAAAAGAACCAAGACAGAAATGAGATAAAATTCTGTCTCCATCTTATAATGGCTACTTTCTATTTCTCAACCCAAAGGAAGAGGAGAGAGGTTGACGTTGTTGACTGAGCTTTCATGAAACTGTCTATGGGAAGGTGCCCCAAATGAAGCCTGGCTCAGAGTAGACCTTATATAGAGTGCGTTTTCTTCCTGCCCCTGCCCCCTCCGTCCCTATAATCAAGGCTGAACCACCGTTACCCTTCGGAACATGGTGTTGTCAGTGGAAGGCCACAGTGAACTATTCAGTTCCCTACCCTGGGACCTCTGAATCGTCCCACGGTGGTGACAGATGTAATGAAAATGCTGCCACCATTGGCTGGCAGGATGTGGTGGCTCATGCCTGTTATCCCAGCACTTAGGTAACCCGAGGCAGGTGGATCACAAGGTCAAGAGTTCAAGACCAGCCTGACCAACATGGTGAAACCCCGTCTCTAACTAAAAATGCAAAAAAAAAAAAAATTAGCCAGGCGTGGTGGCATTCACCTGTAATCCCAGCTACTCAGTAGGCTGAGGCAGGGAATTGCTTGAGCCAGGGAGGTGGAGGTTGCAGTGAGCTGAGATCATGCCACTGCACTCCAGCCTAGGTGACAGAGGGAGACTCTGTCTCAAAAAAAAAAAAAAAAAAAAAAAAAAAAAAAGTTACAATGTTGCCACCAACCTCCAGCCTCTGTGACCAGACACCCTCCAAAGCAACTTCCACACCTCCTTTGGTGGCTGTTTTGACAATGAATCCAGAGAAAGAGGAGCAGCCCCCAGCTTGAGACCTCATCCTGTAAGAGGAGCCAGGCTTCCTGGCTGCTGCTGCTCCTGCTGCGTGCCCCAGAACAGCTGGCCCCGAGCCAAGCACAGTGCCAGCCGTTATAGTGCGAGTCCCAGGATGCTTGGCTGCTGCCACCTGACCCTGGGCGGGTCACGTAGCTTCTGGGTGCTTCAGCGTCCTCAGCTGTCCAACAGCTTAATAATAGTGAGGCATGCTCTGACCCAGAGCAGTGGGGTTTAGCCAAGAGAAGCCTCCCTGACAAGTTCAATGATGGGACAAAAAAAGAAGAATTTTAAAGAAGAAAACCACATAGCACTGAAGTTTGTTATTTTGCACTTGTTTCTCTTGTGCCCCAAAGCAAAGGAAAGGGAACATTAAAGGCCCCCAAGATAACGCACCCCCACTTCTCCACGTCTCCTGGTGCCTCTCTGTTGAATACTGCTCAGTCTTATGAGTTGCTTTCATGCCAGCCCCCGTAGCTTCAAACCTGTGACCTGGAGGCTGTGGGGGGCGGGAGGCGGGGGGAGAGTGAAGGAATGGAGTGGAAGCCAGCTGTTTTCAAGGAACCACATGGGGTTTTAAAAGCACCCACCCACCTCCACCTCCAGGTTCACCAGAACTCTATGCAGCAGGAGAGCAGTAATTCCTCAGGAGTTGCTCTCATCAGAAAATGCGGGGATGGATTCTAGAGGGGCGCAAACAATTGATGCCAACTACAGTATAAAAGCATTGCTGAATTTTTTTAGGAAAACAAAAATAAGTAAGCAAGCCCGCCTCCCCACACATGAATGGAAACGATCTGATTGACATGAAGAACTGGGGGCCTTTGAAGTAGTATTTTCTGGCTGGGCATAGAGACGAGGGCCATTGGCCACCAGTGCTTTGGGATTTCCTGAGTGAGAGTTGCCAGAGATGACTGAAGATTCAACTGAGACAAGAGCCTCCTAATCCACACCCATGGAGTTGCTCATCCAACATAGGTGCAAGCAACCTAAATATCCATCAATTGGAAACTGACTAGGTCACACATACGATGCAATACTACTGTTTCATTAAAGCCTACTAAGAATGGGCTGGCCCCAGTGACTCACGCCTGTAATCCCAGCACTTTGGGAGGCCAGGGCTAGTGGGTCACCTGAGATCAAGAGTTTGAGACCAACCCGTACAACATGACAAAACCCTGTTTCTATTTAAAATAATAATAATAATAGTAAAAGACTATTAAATGTGTTAAAGAGAAAAAATGAGTTAGAGATTTAGATACTTTGACATAGAAAGATGCTGCTATAATACAGTATCAAGCAAAGAAAGCAGTCCGATATTATCCCACGTAGGCGAAAGGGAACCCACACATCTACTTCGCGTGTCTGCATTGAGAGGTATCCCGAAAAACGTTTGCCAGAATGTTAACTGCAGCTGCTTCGGGGATAAGATCTCGACTGATCGCTTTCCTTTCTTCTTGTTCTCTTCTGCATTACTTGACTGTTCCTTTTCTCACAAAGAGCGCTTACTATTTTAGAAAAGCACTATTAAAAATCCATCTCTCTAAGAAGTAACTTTCATCTTCTTATCTCGGTGGAAGTTTGTGATTAAATAGTGAGAAGGGCATTGAACATCTTCTTGATCTTCCAAGATATACTCTGATTAATAGAGAATAAAGCCCTCTCTGATTTCCTAATATCACATAAAACACCGCGGAGAAGGGAAGGAAGGTAGGAGGTCATCAAAGGTATTTCCCTGGACTCTGACAAAGCCTCTGTCCCAACTCCCTCGCAAAGAAAGCTAAACTGGCACGTATTGTATAAGGTCTGCTTTTCCACAGCCACCTCCTCCCCTTTTTCCTTCAGTACTTTTATTCAAACATGTACCGAACAGATGGGATATGCGAGACCTTCCTTCAGGATCTCATCACCTCGTCTGGGGCCTATGCTTTGTTTCAGGCCTATTACTTAAAACAGTCATGAAGGCCAAAGTCATGGCGAAAGAAGCTGACTACCCACCTGGGGTCTCCTCGTCCGTGGAGGGAGTGAGCACTGATGACAGAGCATCGGAGGCCTCTCAGAGTGAAGTGCATTTGGAAAGCGGTCCCTCCTCTGTGCTCACACGCAGTCTGGAGAGTCAGGTTGTCATCATTCACTCAACATCCATTCATTCGGTATTCACTGAGTGCCCACTGGCTGTCAGGACGGTGCTGGGTGCCGGGTCCGATGCAGTGAGCCGAGTGCAATCTCTGCTCTCTAGGAACTTCCACCTTAGCAGGAGAAGTTGGACAATCAGACACGCACATACGCTTTAGGAAGTAGTAAGTGCTACGCAGGAAGGCCCAGTGGGGTAAGGAGTTGGAGTGACGGGGTGGCCGGTGCTGGGCAGGGTTGTCAGGAAAGTCCCCTTGGATAAGATGACCTCTCAACAGAAACCTGAGAGACGTGGGGGAGTGAGGATGGGAACGCATGAGGAAAGAACATTCCAGGCAGGGGACAGTAGTGCAAAGGCCCTCTAAGACTGTTTGCTCAATGCATTCCAGGGACGACGAGCAGGTCAGTGAGGCTGGAAGGGAGCTAACAAGCAGAGTGCGTGGGAAGCAGGTCAGCCAAGGGTAGAGGGGCCGGGTGCCACCAGCCCTGTGGGCTGCCGTAAGGACTGTGGTAAGGTCGTCCTGAGTGTGATAGGAAACACGAGGAGTTGGGAGGAGTTACATGATCTCACACAGTGGAGGCTGCATTTTTGTTCTTTCTTTTTCTTTCAAGGCAGGGTCTCACTCTGTCGCCCAGGCTGGCATGCAGTAGCACGATCACAGCTCACTGCAGCCTCAACCCCCCGATCTATGGTGATCCTCCCACCTCAGCCTCCCGGGTAACTGAGATTACAAGCACGCGCCACCACGCCCAGCTAATGTATTGTAGTCTTTGTAGAGGTGGGGTTTCGGCATGTTGCCCAGGCCGGTCCCAAATTCCTGGGCTCAATCCATCCACCCAGCCTGGCTTCCCAGTGTGCTGGGATTTCAGGTGTGAGCCACCATGTGCTGGCCACATGTTTTGTTTTTTCTAGAAACAGTGGAGAAAAGAAGAAAAGATACCAAATAAATAAGAATTGAGAGACATTATTTTTTCTCTTTTTTTAAATTGCATTTTAGGTTTTGGGGTACATGTGCAGAACATGCAAGATAGTTGCATAGGTACACACATGCCAGTGTGATTTGCTGCCTTCCTCCCCTTCACCCATATCTGGCATTTCTCCCCATGCTATCCCTCCCCAACTCCTCCCCGCCGCTGTCCCTCCCCTATTTCCCACAACAGACCCCAGTGTGTAGTGCTCCCCTCCCTGTGTCCATGTGTTCTCATTGTTCATCACCCTCCTATGAGTGAGAACATGCGGTATTTCATTTTCTGTTCTTGTGTCAGTTTGCTGAGAATGATGGTCTCCAGGTTCATCCATGTCCCTACAAAGGACACAAACTCATCGTTTTTGATGGCTGCATAATATTCCATGGTGTATATGTGCCACATTTTCCCAGTCCAGTCTATCATCGATGGACATTTGGGTTGGTTCCAGGTCTTTGCTATTGTAAACAGTGCTGCAATAAACATTCATGTGCATGTGTCCTTATAGTAGAACGATTTATAGTCCTTTGGATATATACCCAGTAATGGGATTGCTGGGTCAAATGGAATTTCTATTTCTAAGGCCTTGAGGAATCGCCACACTGTCTTCCACAATGGTTGAACTAATTTACACTCCCACCAGCAGTGTAAAAGTGTTCCTATTTCTCCACATCCTCTCCAGCATCTGTTGTCTCCAGATTTTTTAATGATCGCCATTCTAACTGGCATGAGATGGTATCTCAATGTGGTTTTGATTTGCATCTCTCTAATGACAGTGATGATGAGCATTTTTTCATATGTTTGTTGGCCTCATGTATGTCTTCTTTTGTAACGTGTCTGTTCATATCCTTTGCCCATTTTTGAATGGGCTTGTTTGTTTTTTTCCTGTAAATCTGTTTTAGTTCTTTGTAAATTCTGAATATCAGCCCTTTGTCAGATGGGTAAACTGCAAAAATTTTTTCCCATTCTGTTGGTTGCCAATTCACTCTAATGACTGTTTCTTTTGCCGTGCAGAAGCTGTGGAGTGTTATTTTTTTAAAAGAAAGAGATTGTCCAAAAGGACTGTAAACTCCGCTGCTGGTTTCCCACTTTGCATAACAGTAATTCTAGTTCCCTTGTATGAACGAATGCCTTTTCCCGAAACGCATCAGAAACGGTATTCAGGAGACGGTCTTGGAAAGCAGAACTGGCCACAAGATGACAAGAGGAGCTTGAGCAAACCAGTAAGTCCCGGGGAGTCACCGGGGACTCATCCTTCCTTCTTTACCAGGGCACTTCCCTCTTCTTTCTCTGAACCCGCCTGGAGGATGAGAATGAGGCTGAGGCGGACCCTCGGTTGGTGCAAAGGATAACAAGCTGCAGCTCCCTCTCTGTAAGTCCAGAGTCACCCGGCCTGTCACGTTTTATTTTTAGCACTAAATTAATTTTTAAAACCTATTAATAATAAAACTATTAAAAAATTAACAATAGCTAATATTTATTAGGTATTACCACATGCTTTACAAATATCACTAGTTTGAATTGTTATTAAGAATGCTTTTCACCCAACCGTCAGGGCATGGAAGAACAGAGGGGAAAAAAGAACCTTCAAGTGCTACTGTGATCCCCATTTTAGTGCTCAGGACATTGAGACGTGCAAAGGCTAAAAGAACTTGCACCCAGTTTTACCTGTGGGTCCTAGCAGAGCTGGAATTTAAACCCACTGCTGTCTGAATATAAATCCTACGTTCTCAGCCAGTAAGCTATACTGCCCCTCACCAGTGTGCAGTGCCAGAGTCCAGCAGGGATTTACAAGCACAGATACGAGGTGCTTGAATTCAGAGACTAGTGGGGAGCCAAGACCCACGTAGAGAACCAAAGAGGGAGAGGGCAGCCGTGTAACTGCGGGAGTGGCCAGACCCCAGAAGGAAGGCTTTGGGGAGCAAGTGCAGCAGGGCCTGAAGTGTCCAGGACTGTTCACTGTCACCCACTCACCGTTGCCGAGGGTAGGACGCAGCTCTAGCCACGCTTCAGGCGTGTGAGCGTGCGTGTCTATACTCAATGTGCGCCAAGTAGGAGTAAACCTTCCGTTGGTAAAGAAAGTATATCTGCCTGGGTATGGTGGCTCATGCCTGTAATCCCAGCACTTTGGGAGGCCGAGGCAAGCGGATCACTTGAGGCCAGGAGTTTGAGACCAGCCTGGCTAACATGGTGAAACCCTGTCTCTGCTAATAATACAAAAATTAACTGAGTGTGGTGGCGTGCATCTGTAGTCTCAGATACTCAGGAGGCTGATGGGGGAGCATGAACCCGGGAGCAGAGGTTGCAGTGACCTGCAACTCCCAGCCTGGGCGGCAGAGTGGGACTGTCTCAAAAAAACAAGTATGTTTGGACACCTAACAGCAACTAAGTTCTTGGCTCAAGGAGGCTGGAGCTTGATAAGGTGAGCCCTGAAGTAGCTTTTCCCAGCAGCCTATCTACGGAGCACTCATTCTGATCCACACACTTTTCGAGGCACTTGCCAAACATTAGTGTCATCCAGTCCTCACTGCCTGGGGAGCTGGATTCTCCATTCTACAGACGAGTTGAGTAAGGTGATCAAGGTCTTACAGCTGAGAGATGTAAGAGCTGTGACCCTATCGCAGTTGGTTCAAAGCCAGTGACTTAATCTGATGTGTGCTTCCTAATTTCTAGGCACTCAGAGTATACTCAGGGTAGTATAAGCGGTGTGTGTGTGTGAGAGAGAGAGAAACAGAGAGAGAGTGAGCTCTAATAGGCACTAAAAATCCAGGCAGAGAGCAGGCCTCGACTTGTCCCCTCTAGCAGTGCTCACAGAGGAGAGAGGTTTGGGGTTTTAATCCCCATCTCAAGTTCTGCACTGTTTACTGAGTCACTTGCAGAACAAAGCTTTTGCTCAAAGAAGCCCACACCTTCAGGCTGGGCAGGTGTGTCTGAGGCTGGGTTTCCAGGCCCTTTGGGCAGCAGCTGTACACGGGACCTCCACGGATGCCTCTTCTGCCTCCCTGCCCTGCTCCACTCATCTGGGCTCACAGGATGGGCTCTGCTCTCTAGGTTCTTCATCCAGGGTTTCATCCTTGAAGCTCGGGGGAGATGGTCAGCAATGGTGAAATCACCAAGATGCTGGAAAGAGACGCTCTGGTAGGTTCAGCTCTCACAACCAAAAAGACTTGAAAGTCCTTTCCTTTCTACAGGTTCCTTCTGACCTCGAGGACGATGTCCTCTTAACTTCCAGCCTTGGAATGTATCCAGACGTCACTTATTGAGCACCTACAAGTCCTATTTCTTGTTTGTTTTTTTAAAGTGGGGGGGCTGGGTACAGTGGCTCATTGCTGTAATCCCACTAATTTGGGAGGTCAAGGAGGGAGGATTGCTAGAGGTCACAAGTCTGAGACCAGCCTGGGTAACATAACAAGACCCTGTTTCTGGGGAAAAAGAAAAATAAAGCCAAAAAAGCCAAGTATGGCAATGCTGCATTAGCCAGGAGTAGGCCTGTAGACCAGCTACTCAGGAGGCTGAGGTGTGAAGATCACTTGAACCCAGGACTTCAAGGCTACAGTGAGTTATGTGATTGTATGATCATACTGCCCTCCTGTACTCCAGCCTGGGTGACAGAGCAAGACCCAAGACCTTATCTCAAAAAAAAAAAAAAAAAAAGGAAGAAAGAGAGAAAGAGAGAATATTTATTTCCTCTTAGATGTAAAAGGCTTGTCTATTCACATTGGTATATGATCTTGTTTGCTATGAGTGGGCATCTGAAAATCTTAGTTTATTGGGGCCAATTTAAGCTGATCTGAAAATTTTAGAAGTTTCCTGTGATCCAGTGATTTAATTATTGAGGTTGAAGTAAAGAGTGGCTCTGGCCCATTTATACTGGAGAATGACTCAGGCAAGTTCTCATGGACTTTGACACGTCACCATAAAGCATCCAAGTGTGATCTTCTTTATGTAAAAGGGAGCCCACACATTGCCACTGTATGTATGCATTATGGGGTATCCTGAAAGACGTTCACCAAAATGTCATGTGTGGTGTTCTTCAGAGATGAGATCTTGAGGGGCTTTTTTTTTTCTTTTTTCCTTGTTCTGTCCTGCACGGTTTAGGGAGGAAAGGTCAGCACCATCACCTACTCTTTTAAACCCTTCCCACTGGAGC